GCATCCGAATGTGTCAGCAGAAATGGAGACTCATCAGAGCAGCAACGTTTCTCCAATCTTCTATTGTCCAGTTTTGGTGAGTCTGTGTGAATTGTAGCCTCAGTTTCCTGTTCTTAGCTGACAGGAGCGGCACCCGGTGTGCTCTTCTGCTGCTGTAGCCCATCCGCCTCAAGGTTGGACGTGTTGTGTGTTCAGAGATGCTCTTCTGCAGAGCTCGGTTGTAACGAGTGCTTATTTGAGTTACTGTAGCCTTTCTATCAGCTGGAACCAGTCTGGCCATTCTCCTCTGGCCTCATCAACAAGGCATTTGCGCCCACAGAACTGCCGCTCACTGGATATTTCCTCTTTGTCGGAGCATTCTCTGTTAACCCTAGAGATGGTTGTGCGTGAAAATCCCAGTAGATCAGCAGTTTCTGAAATACTCAGAGCAGCCCGTCTGGCAGCAACAACCATGCCACGTTCAATGTCACTCAAATCCCCTTTCTTCCCCATTCTGATGCTCGATATGAACTGCAGCAGATCCTCTTGTCCATGTCTACATGCCTAAATGCAGTGAGCTGCTGCCATGTGATTGGCTGACTAGAAATTTGCGTTAATGAGCAGTTGGACAGGTGTACCTAATAAAGTGGCCGGTGAGTGTAAATATACACACAATTAACAGATTTACAAACTGTTCATACCTACAGATCAAAGATTAGACAATTTTCAGAATCAGCATGACAGATACACGTCATATTCTATATTAATGCAAGATTTTATTAGTGTTTTAGTATTAAAACAGCATCAGTCGAATCTTTATCATTTAATCTATGTTCTCTTGACAGCCAAATTGGCATGCTAGCTTGCCCCTATGAGAAATTCAGTAAATCGTGACACTCTCCACTACTTCTTTTATATTTAGGAGAGAGAGAAATGGAGAGAGGGAGAGATAGATCGAGCGAGAGCGAGAGAGAGATATGGAGGCGGCGGTGGTTTATCGTAAGAGGATTTACTCTTCACAGTCTGTCCTGACATTTGCTCAGTGATGGAGGGATGAGAGAGGTGAAGATGGACTGAATGACGGGAATCTGGGTCACATTCACTGACGACACACAAACACCAAACACAAGAGTTCATCCCAATTAATGCTGCGCTCTGATTGGTCGACACTCATGCTGCGCTGTCTGCTTGTGTTGGTCATTAATTCTCTATATAGACACTGAATACACTCAAACAATAACATGATCTATTTACTACTACTTTTAAGGTAAGTGGTTGCAAACTATTGATATAGGCTGAATTTAAAGGTGCTGTATGTAAGATTTGGACCCCTCTAAAGCCTAAAACAGCATCACATGTGTGCAGATATTCAGAAACATGCTCAGTGAACACTCTTGTTTATCTGAGACACAATGCTGAAGTCAGATATTCTGCTGTGAACATGTGTGTAACGTGCCGGAATGGCTGTCTTTGTTTTGGTCATTGAACCCGCCCAATGCCAGCTTAGCCAATTATATTTCAGCACCGCGGGTTGCCAGATGGTGGAAAACAGCCTATTTCATTCATTCAGTCAGGAAGGCTCTCTAAGCATGCGTCCGTGACTGAAATGTGACCTCTGGTGGACAGTAGCAGACTCCGACATGAGATGCAGATTCAGAGTTTCACATGAGGTTATTAATTAGCAAATAATATCAATATTACAAGTGTAAACATTAGGTGAGCAGGTCACATTGTAAAGCTGTGTCCTAACAACACGCTATGTGACAAAATACGCAGTGATGAGTGATTTGGCTGTTGTCAGCAGACGAAAGATGACAGAAATGTAAATCCAGCCATTCAGAAGCACAGAGAAGAGGACTTACTGCACTCCAGCACAATGGTCAGCTTTATAATCTAATGAACACATATTAAAGCTCTTTAACATGATTAAATGTAGATGCTGAGTCACTGATATGTGTTGGTTTGCACAGTCTCAGTTCTGAAGTTCAGTTTCAGATGCTTTATTTTATTCTCCAGATCTGAGCTGAACTATCTGCTGCTGCTTTCAGTAGTACAGCAATAAATGTCCTGTAAATTGCCCTAAATTGTGTACTTGTGTGTGAATGGGTGTGTTTCCCAGTACTGGGTGGCAGCTAGAAGGGCATCCGCTTTGTAAAACATATGCTGGAATGATTGGCGGTTCATTCCGTTGTGGCGATTCCTGATTAATAAGGGGACTAAGCTGAAGAAAAAAACGAATGAATAAATTAATAAATATGCAAATTTACATTGAATGGCAACTGACATATTGTATGTGACGCACGATGTGAGATGGGTAGACACAAGTGCGTGGCATTATAAGAGCGTACTCACACCATGTACAGTTGCCTTGAATCGGGCCAAAGCATGCTTGTCCCCCCTCCCGTCTCCCCTGACGGCCCGCACTCACATTGCAATCATGCCCGGGCACGCTTATATCATCGATGATGCGCTGTTCAGTAAGAAGCGCTCTCGCTCAGCACAGGAGATTTCTTTAATTATATTGTTTTAGATGTTGTAACAGTCAAATATTTTGCAGAACAGATCCGCCACTTTTGCCGCTCATAAACAATCATAAAGTCCTCATGCTGCAGGAATTAGGAGGTTTGCTGAAGGTGCAGCTGTCGTGCAGTGAGGAGTTTAATAATCTTTAATAAACTACAGCAGTTTGCGTTGATTGAACAGTGAGAATGATTAATAAAGCCATATGAAACAGTCCCTTAAAAGTCACGTCTCATCATTAGTTTCGACCTCAGGCACGCTTTGTACTCACACAACAAGCGTACCGCACTCGCACACACCACTTTTACTTGGGCCAAAGCCGGTCGAGTGAACCGCACCTGAGCCCAATTCAGAGCACTTACACTTCTCAAACGATCCGGAAAATGGGCCGGGGCACGGTTCGGATATACTGTATACTGTAAAGTAATGCTAGCTCTCTGCAGCTCTCACATGGTCGCCCACTGAAGCTAAGCAGGGCTGCACCCGGTCAGTACCTGCATGGGAGACCACATGGGAAAGCTAGGTCGCTGCCGGAAGTTATGTTAGTGAGGCCAGTAGGGGGCGCCCAACCTGCCGTCTGTGTGGGTCCTAATGCCCCAGTATAGTGAAGGGGACTACATACTGCTCAGTGAGCGCCGTCTTTTAGATGAGACGTTAAATTGAGGTCCCGACTCTCTGTGGTCAAGAATGTCACAAGACATAGATCGCTGGAGTACATTCACACAAACTACAATCATGCCTCAAAATGGACTACAGACCCAGTCATGCAACACACTCACACACCTGCTCCAAGTCACCATTGATTACACTCCCACAGCTGATGCTGCTTATGAACTGATACATGGACTATAAAGTCAGCACACAAACACACAGTAGGTGCAAGTCTTGTAAACTGATTGTGAACTTTACTACGCGGTTTCAGTTGCCTTCCATGTCTAGACCTTGCTTTGTTTTGTTTTTTTACGCTGTATGCTGCCTGCCTTCTGACCTATCGCCTGCTATTTTGACTACGACTCTGGATTGCCCACGCACTTCAGTTTGTTCCTGTATTGAACATAGCTTGCCTGATCATTCAGTTCAATAAAACCTGCAAAAGGATCCTCAATTCGTTGTCCAACGTCCCTGTCACATTACAGTTAAAAATCCCATTATGTCCTTGGAAAAAGAGTAGGGGTTATCCTCATACTTGGCTTCATCTCTCCACCAATCAGCTGGGGCCTCGTGTATCAACGCTGCGTACACACAAAAACTTTGTGTACGCCAGGTTTCACGCTCACATTTGGATTTACTAATGATGAAATTAACGTGGGAATGTGCGCAGGGGAGTAAGTTCATCAGACGCTGGATTCGAACCGAGTTCATCCTCGAACATGTCAAAGCATGTTGCCATGCGTTTAACGAGCTACGCCACTCACGCAGTTAAAGACGCTACAAAATTTTACACCTATAGATCTCACTATTTTCTTTTTAATCCACTCAGTGTGATGTTCAGACCCAGCTGTGTTAACCGCGTCAGCTAAACTCTCCCACTCTATTTTTTTCTTTTGTTATTAATTACGGAGGACAAACTTGCAAATAACACCGCTTTTCTCCAGTCTACCTCTGAACGCAGCACCTCCAATTCACATTCTGTTCAAAGTTTTTCTTCTTGCGTTGCTTTTTCATTGGTTTTTCCCAAAGTAGAGTATTCTGATGTACAAAGAGAATATCTGTGAGATTCGGCGTACGCAGTGTTTCATACATCTGAATTTTTTACTGCGTACGCACATTTTACAGCTTTGTGCGTACACAATGTTTTAGTAGGATTTTAACGCAAGTGTTCGTACATGATGCCCCTGGTTTGTGGTGTGCGGTCTGGCGCAAAATTGCTGCCGTCACGTCATCTAGGTGGATGCTGCACACTGGTGGTGTGTAAAGCGCTTTGAGTGTCAATATAAATGTTAGGAATTATTATTAATTATTATAGCGTTATAAAGGAGCACCCAGCTGACTAATTTAATTGTTGGTCTTAATTTTCTGTGGTAAAACTTTAATAAAGTACAATTTTTTTAATTTACATGAACTTATAAACCATTTTGAGGGAAGTAAACGAAAACATTGGTCCCAGCGTGTTTCCTGTTTTACATTTTTAATGTATAGAGCTTTTAAGAATCCAAAAAGAGCCACATATTGATGAATAATGTTATGATCGCTGTTTTAACATTGAGTTATGATTGAATTGCCGCTTGTTACGGTTATGAAATAGTTTAATAACAAGCAGGGAATGTTCATGTGCCAGTGACATGACCATACTGAAATGTTCTACATTAAATTCTACATATTTATCATTTACTTAAGCAAAGATTCTTTGGATTAAACACATTTTAATATTCAAATACCTAAAATTGATTATTGATCTGTGTCCTGCTTGTGTTTGTGTCTGATTTGAATAAATGAGATGAAGTCTGTGATGCAGCAACAGCTGAACTGATGTGTGTGTGTGTGTGTGTGTGTGTGTGCAG